AAAGACAATAATAGAAATCTTCGTAGCCGTCAGCACACAAGCTGGATTATTAGCCATAACAGCAGTCTCTACAGCAGAAGGCTGGTCACTGCCCAGAAAAAGGGCATATTCAAAGTCTGTCTCAAATTGCTATTTTCTTAAACTCTATACTTTGAAAGGAATCATGTCAACAAAAGAACTGAAAGGGTAAAGAAAGCATTATTGTTTTGTTCTGGTTTGTTTTGCTTTGATTTTTCAAGATACGGTTTCTCTGTGTAGCCCTGGCTGTACTGGAACTCATTATGTAGACCAGGATGGTCTCGAACTCACAGATCCACCTACCTCTGCCTCTCGAGTGCTGGGATTAAATGTGTGCACCATCAACGCTGGGCCAGAAAGGGTATTTTGAAATTTGGCTTTTGGCATTTAGCCTTCTCGGCACTAACTCCCGACAAGAGGCTCTAAGGTGAAGTAGTCTTGAGGAAGAAAGTAAACCCTGTGAAGTCTATCAACATGGTTCCCTTCTCTGAACAACAACAAAACATACACAGCCAGTAAGATGGCTCAGCCTAGCAGGCCTGACCACCTGAGTCTGGTCCTCAACATCCAGAGAGAGAGAACTGGCTGCACAAGCTGCTCTCTGACCTCCACATCATAGCTGGCAATGCAGCCCCCCAAAATAAAAGACATAAGCCAATTCGCTAAAGTAAGATTCCACCCAGGCATGGTGGCGCACACCTTTAATATTAATACTGGGAGGCAGGCGGACCTCTGGGAGTTTGTAGCCAGTCTGGTCTACATACCCAGTTCCAGGCCAGCCAGGGCTACACAGTGATACCCTGTCTCAAAACCAAAGCAAAGCAAAGTGTGGATTCCTCTAGGAAAGGAAGCAAATAGTTACTTACTAACAGTGGTGTCCACACAGCTTTACATGCTCTCACTATATCGTCCCTCAGGTCAAGTTATGAGGTAGATCTCATAGTTCCTCAAGGTAATTCGAGTGAGGCAAGAGGATCATGAGGTCAAGGCCAGCCTGGGCTACATAGTGATATCCACTTAAAAAAAAATAAGAAACCATTAGGTAATGTGCCCCGGACCTCAGTCATCACGTGACAATGTCCAGCTCCAGGACCCTAATCTACCCAATTCTGAAAGGTTTGTTCTGTTTTGGTCAATGTACCTCTATAAAATGACAAAATGAATACCAGTTCTCCCTTATAAGAAAAAAATCCAATTCACATTTTGATTCCAAAACAAAACAAACCCAACAAACAAACACCCACCATTCCTGTCAGCAGGTCGCTTTCTGTCTTTTGGTAGGTCTTTAAAACCAAGCCAGGGATTCAGGATGCTGATTGTTTGGAGGGGGTAGGGCAAAAGAGGTTAAATCTTAAATCTCAAAAAAAAAAAAAAAAAAAGATACCTGTTGACAACCACAGAGAACTGAAACAGAAGAAAGTGTAAAGCAGGTACAGGCTTCTCAGCGGCTTCACTGATGTCTGCCAACAATATCCTGGCAAAATCCAGGAAGCAGGACTTGGCTTGACTCCCAGCCTCTTCTCCATGGCCTTCCAGAGAGGCAGAACCAGTACACTAGAAAGACAGAAAGAGAAGAAATTAGATGCCAAGTAATTAATAATTGATTCCTGGAAATGTGGACTGCTAGAAACTGTGACAGTTCAGGAGAAAGAGAAATTTCAAGTGTGTCTTTCAATGTTCATCCCTGCCAGTGAATTTTCAGCCTGAGCTTTGGCACAGCCTATAATTATCAGTATAACAACAGAGCAAGAGATATAAAATGAATCTGCTGTTAAAGTGAAACATTTTATATTCCATTATTGTCTAATCTAACAGCAAATCCATGTGACAGAATTCGAAACAGTACTAACCTGGGAAGGCAGCTTGGATTTTCCACTTCTACTCTACTAACTGCTCTGTGACTTTGACCAAAGTACTTTGTTATCTACAAAGAGGTTGGACTTCCTCTAACCAATCATGATTATTCAGTCCAGTCTTGCTATAATTTTTCAAGGTGATGCTCTTCAGGCCAGCAATCACTATCTAGTTTGTTACTATCCCCACCATCAATGTCTTACAAATCTACCCAACGAACACTTTTACCTTGTCTACCAGATCCATGTCAATTGCAATTCCTGTCTTAGACTCTTGTATACTTCTCCCCACGTTTAATTTTGGCACTGTGCTGGACACTCTGTAATCTAGTGGCTGCAGGATGTAGGGGGTAGGGGAGAGAATGACACGGATTTTTCCAGAAGTCTTGTATAAATCTTGACAACATATGAGTTGACTGGGCTTTGAAAAAGCAATTAAAAAAATCTGTTGGTTAAGCATGGTATCTCATACCTGAAATCCTAGCTACTTGGAAGACTAAGGAAGGATTGCTTAAATCCAGGACTTCAAGGCCAGCCTGGATAATATAATGAGACTGACTCAAAAAAATCAAAAACCTTGTGCTTGCAGTAGTGGTGCATGCCTGTAACACCAGCACTTGGGAGGCAGAGGCGGGTGGATCTTTGCGAGGTCAGCCTGGTCTATGGAGTGAGTTCCAGGACAGCCAAAGCTATACTTAGAAACCCTATCTTGAAAAAAAAGTTAAATCTTCCTAAATATGAGCCTGTTATCCATAGATGGCAAATGGCACAGGTTGACAACCCTAACCCTCACCTCCAGCCAGCGTACAGGAAGACCAGCATTGCCTGGAGTGGAGTTCAGTGCCAATACTAGGAAATGAAGAAACACAAACATACCACTTCAAATTGAGACAATGTCTTTCATTGAGCCATAGGCACCTGAAGGACTTCATCTTTCTCATTTTCTTCTATCCATTCCAATTTCTAGTTTTTCTGCAATTGTACATTAGGGAGCAAGGAGCAGAACAGAAGTGTGGCCACAAACACATTCAAAAGATTATGAAATGTAGCCTAAGAAAGTATACCCAGGAACTTCTGTAGCCTCCCAGGATGGAGTGTAGAGTATGTGTGTGTGGATCTTACCCAACACATTTCTGCCTACCACAAAAGGATTTGAAACTAAAGGTGACTCAACACCTGTCATCAATATCCTGGCAGGTGGGTGGGAAAAGCAAAAAAGAAATGAATAGGCTTTGAGAACAGGAGTAATAAACACGATTGGACTAGCAAACTGATCAGAAGTGCATGAGAGAAGCAAAGCTAATTTCATTTGCACTCCCAGCCATTTATTCAGCTGAAACCTACAATTGCCTATGGGCACAAATCACGGCTAGGGTCCAGCTAAAGGCTTGCTGACCAGAGTCAACAACAACAAAACATCACTAAGATCCCAAGTGTTTGTTATCAAATCAAAGCGTGACAACCCAGGGAGAGAACACACACCCCCACAGTACTTGACAAATGAAAATCTAGAAAAGCTCCCAGTAGTTCTGGCATTTAGGGCGTTACAAGCACACCCGAAATAAAAGCACTCTGTTGCAGCAGCTGTTCTGACAGAGCAGGGGGTAATGTTTACTTAATACTTCAGGTTGATGGGGAATGTATCATAGTTCAGTCTGTCAGCTACATACGTGGAACTCCATTTATGTACACAGCGATAAGATATGTTTGAATAACGACAGAGCACGTCTATTCATCGGGTGTGAGTAATCAAGAATAAAGCTTTAAGGGAAAAGAAAAAGTCTTACATATTTGAGAAAGTTACAGAACAGACTGCCATGAATAGCTTTGCTTATATTTGCAGACACTGTTTTCCAAATAGCTGAAAAAATGAACAGATTGTTCCAGGAGGTCGTCTTTCCAATTTGTTCCCAGTTTCCAGTCTGTTAATCACAAGAAAGCACAAGGAGAGTCGGCTAATGTGCTTCAACAGCATCAATTGTCGGTTGGGCACAACCACCATGAGGTGAGAGCAGGCAAAGCATTCCTGGAACCGCGCCTGAGGTTTTCTATTTCGATTTCCTTCACTTCATTCACTTTTGTGCTCACCGCAGCCACTGCAGGACCCTCTAAGGGGCATAATTGTCAAAATTCTCAAGGAGGCAGGTTTCGACAACGTGCCCAACCCCGCCCCCTGTATTCTGTATCAACTTTTTTTTTCTTTTAATCTCGATAGGGATAATCAAACATCAGAGACAGCAACTGGGGCGAGGCTGCAGGGGTAGGGTGTCAGGACCGCAGCGCCTGGAGCCTGCTCTGCCACTCTATCAGGGAATGGAGGGACCTGCCTGACCAGGCCTGAGCCCCAAAGCCGGGGTTCAGCTCGGGACTCTGGTACCTGCAAGGCCAGGAGCAGCTGACTTGCCCTGGCCGGGTCAGGAGCGCCACCTCCGGGTCCCAACGCCGGGCCAGCGTACCCCCAGGCATGGCCCGTCCCGCTTCTGCCCCACCCCTGAGCTCATGGTCCTCGGCCTGGCAGCCAGCCGCCCCGGCCACCTACCGGGGCTCAGGGCCACACAGAGGGGTGCCGGCTGTCGGCGGCCTCCGCCTCCTCCCGGTCCATGGGCTCGGGGGCCCCAAACCTTCTCTCCCCTCACGCAGAGGAGGAGAAAGAGAAAGAAGAAAGTGCTGGCTCCCCACCCGGATAGCTCCCTCTTGCCTCAGCCTCCCTGGACAGCGACCGCGGCCGGAAACGCCGCCTCCTCCCACCTCCCGGGACTCAACCCGGAAACACACTCTTCATGCTGAGCCAGCCCTCCCGCCCCCACCCTCCGGAAGCGCAATTCCAGCCGCGAGCCCGGGGTGGGAGGAGGGGGAGTGCTGAGGAGAGAACTACGCACAAGCGAGGACGTCCGGGCCCTCAGCCTTTCCCCTCGAGCCCTGGCGGGGAGACCTGCACCTTGCCTCCTTTGCACGAGCACCGAGGCCCCAGACTCGGGCAGTGCCCACAAGCAAGATGGCCGCACCGGAGGCACCCCCTACTGCTTAGCGCCCTGCCGCGCCATTGGTCAGCGTGAGGAGTGAGGACAGCGCGGATTGGTCGAGAGCGATGCGGGGGTGGGGGTGGAGCTGTAGCAGCCTGGAGCCAAGAGTGGGCAACGCGGCGTGAGCAGCGGCCCCAGGCTCCCGGAGCATCGCGCCCGGAGAAAGACTTCGCCGCTCGGGGCCGCAGCCTGGTGAGCTCAGCCCCCTTCAAGCCCTCCCCTGCATCTCAGCCGGAGCCTCTCCGAGCCGGCGCTGATCGATGCTGAGGCTCCCCAGGGACCCTATCGCGACTCCATCGCGCTATATCTCGACATCGCCGTGCCCTGTCGAGGCTCCATTTTGTCACAGCCCCTTTCAGTATCTATCTATCTATTCTTTTTAAATTTGCCCTATCATATTTGGGGGCTGTCCCCCTTCATGTCGTGATTTCGCTGTGATCTCTCCGTGACATCACCGCGCCATCGTGAAGTGTGATCTCATCGCTGCTCTGTCGTTCGACTTCATCAATGTCGTGTTGTGACCTGGCTGCGGCGGGACAGGTGGTGACCGCCAGGATCCCTTCTCCCCTTCTCATCTCTCCATCACAGCAGCCCCGCTTCGATTATCCGGCTTTTGGAGTCTGTTATCCTGAGAGCTACCTGACCCCTCCTTCCTTCTCTAGCCAGTGCCGGCACCCACAGGCTGGTAGCGGGATGGACAGGGAGAGTACAGGGACCACAAGGGGTTAATGCTGCTGCTGCAGCTGCAGCTCCTGCTTCTGCAGCCTCTGCAGCCTCTGCCCGAGGGAGGGAAAAAAAAAAAAAAAAGAGGCAAAGGAGGCTGCGGGGGCGATTATGAGCCCTGGCTAGAGGGGTGGGTCCTCAGGGGAGTCTTCAGAGCCTTCTCTGGAGAGCTCTCCTTCTCACTTCTGCTGAAGCCAATCTACTTTCTCTGAAGAAGGGAGGGGAAAGGAACCCTAGAATGTCCTTTGCATCCTTGTCAGCGTGAGTCCGGATAATCGAACTTCACCCGTGTATGTCTTCATCTCTCCCTGTCTGTCCTCACCACTCACTCCCCATGTGCCTCCTGGAGAGAGATAAAACCCGGTGTCTGTCACCAGCGGCTGCTGAACAGTGGGGCCAGCTCCTTCCCACTTCTCTACTGGTGAGGAGAGCTGTCTAGCTGAGCAGCCGCATGCATGATCCTCATTTCCCACTTTTCTGGAGGTGACCTTGGACCAGGGTCCCTTCTTCATCCTAAAAGAATTTGCAGGTCCATCCTCTTAAAGGGGCTCCCCCAAGGGAGGTCAGTTATGAGGAAGCCACCCTTCCAAATCCACCCTCCCCTCCCTCTGTGCTAATCCCTCCCCACATCCTCCACTTCCACCCCCGCCCCCGCCCCTCCTCTGCAGAGGGATGCTCAGTCCCTCTTGTGTTCACAGTTGGGCAAGGCGGGCATCATGGCCTCGGATTGCGAGCCAGCTCTGAACCAGGCAGAGAGCCGAAACCCCACCCTGGAACGCTACCTGGGAGCCCTCCGTGAGGCCAAGAATGACAGCGAGCAGTTTGCAGCCCTGCTGCTAGTAAGAACCTGGCTGATAATTGCAAGGTGGGAGGGCTGGACAGGAGGGCCCCCAAAGAATGGGGTCAGCAAGTCCCCAGGGATATCTAAGTGACATTAGCAACCTGGAGGCACCAAAAAGGCCTAAGATCTCTCTACCTTTGTACTCTTCTTTCTCCCTGGGGGGATGGAGACGTGGGGGGAGTGGAGGTGAATAAGGCTGTAGCACTGGGACCATGGAGGAGGCTGCCTGGATTTGCTTTCTGGGGCGTCCCAGAGCAGATGGGAGCTGACTCATAGGGTAACAGCAGCAGGTTGTAACTAGTGCAGAGTACTTGAGGGCTGGGGTGGCTTTTCTTGGACCCAAAAGAGTAGCAGGATTAGAAGTAACTAGTGACAGATTCTAGAAGATGGCCAGAGTGGCGATAGGTCTGTTAACAGTAAAGGAGTGGTTTGACTCTTAGGCTGTTAGAGGAACTCAAGCTAGGGACAGCAGAGCAGGAGCTGCAGTGCTGGGGGGGGGGGGGGGGGGGCATGGGTGGGGCGGGGGGGGGGGGGGGGGGGGGTGTGTGGGGGGTGAAGGGAGGAGGGAGTGCAGCAGTTGCTTGTTTGCCATGGCAACAGGGAGAAGGCTCTGGAGTCAAGGGCTCACACTGCAGCAGAGGAGGTGTTTAGGTGAAATGTAAGGGGAAATGTTTTGACATGCGGAGCAGCGAGACACAGGAGCCATTTCCCGTGAGAAGGTGGCGGAAATGGATCAGAGACTTCTCTGGAGACAAGTAGTTAGGAAAGGACCCTGCGTCCTTAGAGGGTTTTAAGCATGGGTTATACAGCCCCTTGCATCCCAAGCTGTGGGCATATGGATTCACGGATTAGACACCAGGTGACCATTTGCCCAAATGACTGGTTAAGGAGCACTGGACCTCCCTTCCATGAGATAACCATGGATGACAGAGATTCTCAGAGGTCACACCTGTCTGTCTCCAAGGAGAAAGGAGGATCTGGATGAAATGACCCCAGAATGGATCCCATTGCATAACTATTCCTGCTAGCCCTCGATGCCCAGGGAACAGGGAAGGGACAGTCTTTGCTACGTTTCTTTTCATCCCGCTGATAGTGCATTACCTCCCACCCACCGTAGGTGACCAAGGCAGTCAAAGCAGGTGACATTGATGCCAAAACTCGACGGCGGATCTTTGATGCCGTTGGCTTCACCTTTCCCAACCGACTCCTGACTACTAAGGAGGCACCTGATGGCTGCCCTGACCACGTTCTCCGGGCCTTGGGTGTGGCCCTGCTGGCATGTTTCTGCAGTGACCCTGAACTAGCCAGCCATCCCCAGGTCCTGAACAAGATCCCCATCCTTAGCACGTTCCTTACAGCCCGGGGGGACCCCGATGATGCTGCCCGCCGGTCCATGATTGATGACACCTACCAGTGCCTGACAGCTGTTGCAGGCACACCCCGAGGGCCCCGGCACCTCATTGCTGGTGGCACAGTGTCTGCCCTGTGCCAGGCATACCTGGGGCATGGCTATGGCTTTGACCAGGCCCTGGCACTCCTGGTGGGGCTGCTGGCTGCTGCAGAGACACAGTGCTGGAAGGAGGCGGAGCCCGACCTGCTGGCTGTGTTGCGAGGCCTCAGTGAGGATTTCCAAAGAGCTGAGGATGCCAGCAAGTTTGAGCTCTGCCAGCTGCTGCCCCTTTTTCTGCCCCCAACAACTGTGCCCCCCGAATGCCACCGGGATCTGCAGGCCGGCCTGGCACGCATCCTAGGAAGCAAGTTGAGCTCCTGGCAGCGCAACCCTGCACTGAAGCTGGCAGCCCGCCTGGCTCATGCCTGCGGCTCCGACTGGATCCCAGTGGGCAGCTCTGGGAGCAAGTTTCTTGCCCTCCTGGTGAATCTGGCGTGCGTGGAGGTGCGGCTGGCTCTGGAAGAGACAGGCACAGAGGTAAAAGAAGATGTGGTCACCGCCTGTTATGCCCTCATGGAGTTGGGCATCCAAGAGTGTACCCGCTGTGAGCAGTCCCTGCTGAAGGAGCCACAGAAGGTACAGCTTGTCAGCATTATGAAAGAGGCCATTGGAGCTGTCATTCACTACCTGCTGCAGGTAAGGGCCCACTGGCCTACAGAGGAGCTGGGAGAATAATGGGGAGATGGCGTACTTTCATGTACATGCTGCCTGGTACTGTAGCAAGCACTCTAGGAGTAGTGTGTGGCCGAGCCTCCTTCCCTCTCCCTCCCTGCCGTGGGCCTCCACACAAGCACCATACCACACACCATATGTGCACTCTGATCACGGCGCGCACACACACACACACACACACACACACACACACAACACAGTAACCTCCCACTCACATATACTCCCCAGTTCACACACGCTACACATCACACACAAAAGCGAAGCAGTGTATTCTGCTCACTCTCCACCATTGTCTTACATATAAACATGCCTACATATTTATGTCTTACATGTAAATTTGTAGAATGCCGGAGAAAGGTGGGGGCAGGGAGTGGCCTGGTTCCTGCCTCTGTAGAATTTCGGCTAAGTCTTATTCCCCCACCATCCCGTCCACTCTCTGTATTTGAGAGGCCACCTCTTCTGCTCCGTTAGGATTGAGGCATGACTGGTCTCTTCAGTGGCCTGCTTCAGCCTCTGGACTCATCAGCCTTCTGTGTACTATCTTAGGCTAAGCTCTGGTCTCCTTTTCTGATTTAAGCAAAAAGTGGGTAGTTCCTCACTACTTAATTGTGAGTCTTTCCCCGACCCAATTCAGAGTGTCTCTAAAGGAATGCTGTTTAGCTGTGGGCCCCTGAGTTTCCCCTGGTCCCCTAGCTACCTTAGAGATAGAGTTAGGGGTATGTGACCTGAGTCTTAGCATCAAGCATGCTGTCTGAGATCCACTTGATTTAGTTCTCGCCCCTATGGGGTGAGTCCCTCCCATGTGCTGGGTTTCAGGTAGAAGTAAGCTTGGTGTCCTTCTGGGGGGGGTGTTTTGTTTGGATTTTTTGTTTGTTTGTTTGGTTGATTTTGGTTTTTCTGTATAGCCCTGGCCATCCTGGAACTTGCTCTGTAGACCAGGCTGATCTTGAATTCAGAGAGATCCACCTGCCTCTGTCTCCCAAGTGCTGGGGTTAAAGGTGTGCACCACCACCGCCCAGCTCTATTTCTTAGATGGGGTGGAGGGGCGGTCCATGCATGCCACAGCACACATGTGGAGGCAGGAAGACAAGTCAGTTCACTCCTTTCACCATGTGATTTCCAAGGAATCACACTAAGGTTGTAAAGTACCCTTACCCACTGAGCCACCTTGGCACCCATCTTTGATGGACATACAGTCTAGTGTTATTGGCAGGCTGGGGAGGCAGAGGAGGGTTCCTGCTTCTGCTTCTTCATTTCAGTGGGGTCTTATGACAACAGGTGGGACCAGAGAAGCAGAAAGAGCCCTTCGTGTTTGCTTCCGTGCGAATCCTGGGTGCCTGGCTGGCTGAGGAGACCTCATCCCTGCATAAGGAGGTGTGCCAACTGCTGCCCTTCCTCGTCCGCTATGCCAAGACCCTCTACGAGGAGGCTGAGGAGGCCAATGACATTTCACAGCAGGTGGCTAACTTGGCCATCTCTCCCACTACCCCAGGGCCCTCCTGGCCAGGGGATGCTCTCCGGTGAGTTTATAGTTATGGGTTGTTGATTCAGACCATTCCAAAGAAAAGGGTTTCCAGGCATGGTGGCGCATGACTTTAAACCCAGCACTTAGGAGGCTGAGGCAGGAATAGCTGAGAGTTCAAGGCCTAGTTGGGCTACATAGAAAGTACTAATCACTTCAAGGCTACGTAGACATAGCAAGACCCTGTCCCCAAAAAGAGAGGAAAACTAACTAACTAACTAAATAAATAGATGAATACAAAGAAAAAGGCAATACCTTTTCCCTTTGGATTTTTTGTTTGGTTGGTTGGTTGATTTGGGGGATACCAAATACCTTTAGGGGATACCCTGTTCCCCCAAATTGGGCTCCCTGGCAGGTCACAAGCATTCTCTTAGAATTATTTCTTAGTTCTGACTGTTGTGGGCTTCTTCCCACAGAACTCCTGAACTATAATGTGCCACTTGACATCTCGCCCCCCCCCCCCCCCCCGGGGTTTTTTTTTCTTTTTTTTTTTTAAACAGGGTCTCATCATGTAGACCTGGCTGGCCTGGAACTCCCTTTGTAGACCAGGCTGGCTTTGACCTCACAGAGATCTGCCTGCCTCTGCCTCCCAAGTGCTGGGATTAAAGATATGCACCACCACATCTAACTGGTCTCCAGATTTTTATTAGAAACAGAACTTAGGTTTTCTGAGTGCCTGCTACAAAGCCAGGTGTTTTGCTGGAACAAACAGCAAAACAGTTTTATTTGATACTTAGCAAATCTGACAGAAATCTCACTTACATTTTTAAAGTAAACTGGCCATGTTTGCTAGCTCTCACCTTTAATATCAGCATTTGGGAGGCTGAGGCAGGATTGTTATCCATCTGGGCTCAAAGTAAGACCCCCTCCTCAAAAGGAGGGAAAAAAGATGATGGAAATGAGTCTCAGAGGCTTGAGAAGTACCTAGGCTGTAGTCATACCATGTGGCAGAGCCCCCATGAACTCTGGCCTACGTGACTGAGGTTTCTCTGCGGTACCATGAAAGTGTCCTCTTCCCCTAGCTTCTACATTTTTTTTTTTTTTTTAGTCAGGGTGCCCTTATCTCTTCCAATCTCACGTTCATCTGTCTCCACGTGCTCAGGCTCCTCCTGCCCGGCTGGTGTCACCTGACTGTTGAAGATGGGCCCCGGGAGATCCTGATCAAGGAAGGGGCCCCCTCACTTCTGTGCAAGTACTTTCTGCAGCAGTGGGAACTCACATCCCCCGGCCATGATACCTCAGTGCTGCCAGACAGCGTGGAGATCGGCCTGCAGACCTGTTGTCACATCTTCCTCAACCTGGTGGTCACTGCACCAGGGCTGATCAAGTGAGGGGCTTGGGAGAGGCTGGGAGGAAAGCCAAGGAAGCAGAGGGGCTGTCCTGTCAGCCCGCTCTCAACCTTCTCCTTAGCTTCCCTGTGTCTGTAGTTTTCTCTTACTGTTAGTGTAAGCAGGTTTCAGAACAGACAAAGTCAGTCCCACTCGAAGATGTGTTGTATTCAGAGCCCCAGGTATCTCAGGGCATGTCTGTCTGCTCCAGCCATCACTCAGCTCAGTCAGCTGGCATCTGACCAACCCAGATGGCAGTCAAAAGTTAACACTTCACCCTGCTGCGTGATGTCCTGGCAAACCCTGGTCAGGTGAAGCTAGAAACCATATGCCAGGTTTTCCAAAGGGCTTGACCGAGTCTGCTAACCCTCTGCCTGCCCCCCCCCTCCCCCTTTTCTCCCCAGGCGCGATGCCTGCTTCACATCGCTTATGAACACCCTGATGACATCACTGCCCTCACTAGTGCAGCAACAAGGGAGACTGCTTCTAGCTGCCAATGTGGCCACCTTGGGCCTCCTAATGGCCCGGCTCCTCAGCACCTCTCCAGGTAAGCCTTGGGGACAGAATACATGAGTTCAGAACCTGAGCCCTCACTTTCAGAACATGGTGTGGCAGAATTTTCCCATTGAAAGGTAATTTCTACAGTATCGCTCCATCCTCCACCCCCACCCTTCCCAAAATGATAACAGTCTCTTCCTTTTAAATACTTTTAAGGCAAGGCCTGGTGGGTGTTTGGTACAGACCTGTTCAGAGTCACAAGCATAGGCACCTGGAATCCCTGGCAGCCTGGGAACTCTGAATCCCGCGTTTTCAAGGTGGAGCTGCCCCCACCCAGGCCCTGAGTCACAGGCGTGGTTTGCTGCATTGAGATTTTTACCACTTAGCACCCCACCCCACTCAGTGACACGCATCAGCTTCTCTCTGCCCTCCCTCCCTCTGGCTGTGTGCAGGGGGAAGGGCGTCCCCTCCAGCCCCTGACAGCCCTCAGTGTCTCCCACTTTGACCGTGGGTGTCTGCTTGGGTCCCTCTGTCCCCGCCTGTTCCCTGTGCCCCATCTGTCAGGTTGGAGGAACAGAGCAGATGCCTGGGAACAGGGTGTAATGTGCCCATACCCTCAGCTGCCTGTTTTTTGTGTGGGGATCCCAGCAGGGTACCTTGCTGTGGAAGGGGGAACGTATCCCTGAACTAGGAACCCCTTGCATTTAGCCCTCAAGGAGAGTCACTATGCTTTGGATCCAGTGCTGGGTCACCCACAAATGCTACCACACTGGTTGAACAGCTTCCTGGAGATCCAAAGAGGGGGCTCCTGAACCCCTGAATAGCAGATGGGCCAGAGCTGGGTCGATGTTCATCATCCCCTTTGGCGCCCTCTTCTGGCAAGAAGTCAAATTAGTTCATTCTCAGCCTGGTGAAGGGCTCTGAGCCCTCAGCTGCTTGGGTCCCTACTGTGGAAACCCCAAGGAAGGCTCTTTCTTACATCTGACATGAGGCTTACTCCTACCTCTTGTGCATTTAGAGGTCTTGATGATGGAGTGTACCTAGATTATTTAATTCTGACAACGTGTTGCTAAGATTGGCGTGCCACTGGCCCCATCTTAAAATGAAGAGACTGAAACCCAGAAAAGTTTAAACACCTAGTATCACACTGTAAGTGTTAAAGGTAGGCTTTGAACCTAGGCAATGTGAGTCCGGGTGATGCTTCTGCTCTCTGAGCATGGGAGGGAATTAGTCCAGTGTTTGGCCTGTCTGGTTCATACCACTGCCCTCTCCATTCTTTCAGCTCTCCAAGGAACCCCAGCCTCCCGAGGTTTCTTCGCAGCTGCCATCCTCTTTCTGTCACAGTCCCATGTGGCACGGGCCACCCCTGGCTCTGACCAGGCAGTGCTGGCCCTGTCCCCTGACTATGAGGGCATCTGGGCTGACTTGCAAGAGCTCTGGTTCCTGGGCATGCAGGCCTTCACGGGTTGTGTGCCACTGCTGCCCTGGTTGGCCCCTGCTGCCCTGCGCTCCCGCTGGCCACAGGAATTGCTACAACTGCTAGGTAGTGTAAGCCCCAACTCTGTCAAGCCTGAGATGGTGGCTGCCTACCAGGGTGTGCTGGTAGAATTAGCGAGGGCTAACCGGCTGTGCCGGGAGGCCATGAGGCTGCAAGCGGGTGAAGAAACAGCCAGCCATTACCGCATGGCTGCCTTGGAGCAGTGCCTGTCAGAGCCCTGAGGGGCATCCAGTAGGGATAGACCCAGGGGCGGGCAGCGAGGGAAGGAGGGAGGAGGCATCTTCCCTGAAGCCCCCAAACTGGACCCTTCTTCAGACTTCCCCTACAAACACCCCAGCTTTCTGGCTTTTCTGAGGGCTAGGGCATGATGCCCACCTCTTAAGTATAAGGAACTGCATCCTGCCCCCAGCCCCCTTGGGGCAGGGATTGGCTTGGAACAGAGGTTGGCCCCGCCAGGCCGGGGAAGGTTGGAGCAGCCCCAGAACGAGGGCAACTAAGTGTCATTATACCCAATGTCTGGCTCCCTGACAGAAGGGAGGTTCCAGGGTAGGAGCGGGCTGGCAGGCGCTGACTGCCTCAGCCTATGTGCCCTGCCGGCCAGGGCGTGGCCTCCCCAAGGCTGTGGTGCCCCTTCTGGCTCCCCAAGGTCCGCGCCCTTTATATTGGCCATTTGGTTCTTGCCTTTAGTCCTCTTGGACGGAGAGCAGGCTCAGGCCATTGACATCGCAGTTCTTCCTTTCAACTTTAGTGACCCAGGGTCCGACATGCCCCTGTCCTTCCAGGGCAATTTGGAGCAGGCAGACCAGTGGGGGGGTGGGGAACCTCTTTCCACCTGCGCTTCCTTGAGGGAACCCAAGAGCCCTTGGTCCCAGGTCTCTTGAGCTTTTGTGTCATGTTGCAGCAGAGTGAAGATGGGGGTTGGGGTTATTTATTTTGCTTGTCCTTATCCTTGCTTGGAGACCTGAGCATCAGATCCCTGTGCCCCTGGTGCCATCTGGCCTGGCTGGAGCCAGGAGCAGGAGGTTACACCACCCTAGAATCCGCATGTTTTCCCAGTGATTGCACTCCACTGCCACCGTGGTGCCTGGCTTCAGCTCCTCTACCCCAATCCCTGCTTAGACTCCTGCAGGGAGACGCGACTGGCGGCTCCAGCAGGAACTACCTTTCTGAACCCTTGGAGACCCGCATACTCCTGACCCCTTGCTTCACCCCACCCCCGCCCCCAGTGCGTTCTGTGACCGCCAAGTTCAAAGCTGTGTACATGTGGACACTCAATAAATGTTCATTGGTGATGAGAAGCCGCCTTTATGCTCTGACCTTCACCACTCTGCCTTTCACACTCTACACTCTCACCACTGTCTGCTGAGCCAATGTCCTTCTAAATACTTAGCTGATGCTCTCATTCATCTCTCCCAGGAGCTAGGAAGAAAGCACCATAGCTGTGGTTTTACAGGCAGGGAAGTCTTAGACACACCCTGCCCTAGTACAACAGGTTCATAAGACCAGATGTTGATGTCAGGCATTCAGACAGAAGCACTGTCTGTTTGCATCAACTTAGTTCCAGGGTCATTGCCATATCCTCCAATTAAAAAAAAAAAATGTTATTAGGGTATGTGGTTGGGGTGGGGTGCATGTCCCATAGCACTCGTAGAGGTCAAAGGACACCTTTGGAGTTAGTTCTCTCCATCTTTGTGTGGGTTCTGGAGATAGACATTAAGTTACCAAGCTTATATGGCAAGTACCTTTACCCACTGAGCCATCTCACAGGCCGTGTTCCAACTCCTAAAGAAATCAGAAATCCTAATTTTTATTTGGAATCCAACTCAGACATTAAGAACCTTACTTTCAACTAAGTCACTATTGGCCTAACAAAGCAGGGATGCCAAATGTGGCTTTCAGGTTACCAGCTGTTGACCTGTGTTCATGCCGAATGAGAAGAGGAAGGACCTGAAAGGGCAAGAGGGAAGCCAGGGACCCTTTGCTATTCCCCCACTGGAGCCAGAAGAGCTCCAGGTCTGTTCTGTGTGCATGCTCCATCTAGGACCTAAACCTACAAGCATACACTGAGTATGTCCTGTGGCTTACCTGTAGTTGGCTATGCAAACAAAGCAAGAATATTCATTTGAAAATGAGTCTCAGATAAACAAGACAAATTAACCTTCACACAGTGGCTTAATATCCACAGGACAAATAATACAACATAAAGGTATTCACAATGACTTCTATGGAGGTCAAAACAAAATGCAATCTCAAGCTCCCCAGCCTCACTTAAGCAAGTCCAGAAAACTAAATACTGGCACTGTAGACCAGGCTGGCCTTGAACTTGAAGTTCTGCCTCTGGAGTGCTGGGATTAAAGATATGTACTACCACACTACCCCCTAGCTTGATACCCAGTTTTTTGTTTTTTGTTTTTCCTTTTTCTTTTTTTTAGACAGGGTTTCTCTGTGTACCCCTAGCTGTCCTGGAACTCGGTAACCAGGCTGGCCTCAAACTCAGAGACCCACCTGCCTCTGGCTCCTGAGTGTTGGGATTAAAGGTGTGTGCCACCATCCCCAGGGATAAACCAGCATTTTAGATATGAAATCATGCTGAGGGGACAGACTGCAGATTTTGGAGCAGATTAAATGGGATTCGGTTGTGTTTTAGAAAGATGGCTGGTTGCAAATGGACCTGCTGGAGTTAGCCAACTTAGGGGATATAACAAGTGCAGGGAACGTGAGTGGGTGGGGAAGGGAGCAAAGGACTTAGGAACTAAATTTTGAGTGAAGTGGAACAAAGAACAGGAAGCCAAAGATTCTTGACTCTGACCATTGTGTGAATCGTGGGACCACTCTGTCACAGGAAACACTGGGAGAGGAACCTGTTTAATCGATGATTTGTGTTGCTCATGGGACATCCAAGGAGTAGTTTCCTCCCCTAGCCCAGAGCATGGAAAGAAGTCTGAGGGGCTAACAGATTTGAGAGCTGTCAATTAGAGGTTCTTTAGAATCATGGGTGTGACAGATTGGGCAAATGAGAAGGGAGAGGCTACAAAGTGAGTGATAACTGCTCATGGTCCTTGCCGCCGAGTTCCTCTGCTGCATGCCAAATCCAGTAAAGCTTGAAACAAGGCAGACTGAGTTCTGTCCTCTATGAGGCAAGGGTGAGAGGGTTCTGGGCTCCAGAATAAGCAGGAGCCTAGGCTTTCGCTGAGAGAGGAAAGGGAGTACTGAGCTGCAGTGGAAAGCTCCAACCACCAGATGGCGCCTCAGCATCTTGTGCCAGATTTCATTTCCCAGCAAACACTCCCAGACAGACCCGTTAGGAGGAGCAACGTGGCTCTGTCATCAACGGAGGCCAAAGAGTTTTCTTTAAAAAAAAAAAAAAAAAAAGGAGAAACTGGACAGTAGTGGTGCATGCTTTTAAACCCAGAACGCAAGAGGCAGAGACCGGCAGATCTCTGTGAGTTCCAAGACAGCCAGGGATACACAGCGAAACCCTGTCTAAACACAGACAGACAGAGAAAAGGTGAGCCTTGGAAGAAGAATAAGTCAAGTATATCAAATGAGAGTCCATGTATATTTGAGCATGCATACTATGTGCCAATTAATATACTGTCTTACGAATGTATCTGTGCCTGTTGTGCCCCCCCATTTCCCTAGGGGTATCTGAATATGTATCTCTGTGCACACCCCAAGCCTCCATCCAAGTGCGTGTATCTCAAAGAACAGGCCATAAGAAATGGTCACCTTTCCAATGGGAAGAACTCTTGTCCCTAAAGCAGAAGGAACCCAATCTGAAACCCTGGTTTTGACAGCTCCACTGATCTCTGAAGAAGCCGAAGCAGGTCATAGAGAGCATGCCTCTCCCCAGAAGAAATAACCAAAACCACTCACTTCCTGCACCAAGAAAAGTACTAGATACACTGTCTAATTTTTTAGTTTTTTGGTTTTTCGAGACAGGGTTTCTCTGTGGCTTTGGAGGCTGGCCTGGAACTAGTTCTTGTAGACCAGGCTGGTCTCGAACTCACAGAGATCTGCCTGCCTCTGCCTCCTGAGTGCTGGGATTAAAGGCGTGCGCCACCAAAGCCTGGCAAGATTCATTCATTTTAGGTGTATGGGTGTTCTATCAATACCTATGTCTGTATCACATGGGTGCAGTGCCTGTGGAGGCCAGAAGAGGGCGTCAGATCACCCAGAACCGGAGTTACAGATGTGTTGTTCCTGCTGTGTGGGTCCTGGGAATGGAACCTGGCTCCTCTGGAAAAGCAGCCAGGGCTCTTAGCCTCTGATCATCTCTCCAGTCACTCTTTTAGACTTCTTGTGAAGTGACTCACAGAGCAGGAAAGGAAAAGTAATCGCAAGAACTGGAGTGCCAGCTATTGAGTTTAGTTCCTCGAGTGGGGCATGATCATGGATCCCAGAAGCGTTTTCAGTAGGGAAGGGCCATGGTCCAGGCATAAAGTTGCCAATGGAGTTGGAAGTGGATCACAAGAGGAACTCAGGTCACCTGTTGGAGGCTTGTGGCCACAGCATCCTCAGTGCAACCTAGGTCACTTTAGGGATTTTTGTTTGCTTGTTTGTTTGAGACAGGGTTTCTCTGTGTAGTCCCGGCTGCCCTGGAACTCTCTCTGTAGACCTGGTTGGCCTTGAGCTCACAGAAATCCACCTACCTCTGCCTCCCGAGTGCTGGGATTAAAGGCGTGCGCCACCACTGCCTGGCCACTTTAGGGGTTATTAAAATATATTGTTGGAGTCTACTGCAGAGTCGCTGATCCAGTGGGTCTGAGGTAGAGTCCATGAACAGGCATTTCTAACAAGTCCCCAAATGTCATTGGTGACGATGAATGAGGTACCACACTTTGAGACTTATGTATGTGAAGACGACGATAAGGATGCTTGAGGCTATGAGAAAAAGGTGGTACATGCTTTCTGAGATACCTACCCAATGTCTTCCGTGGTGGGCGCTTATGGATTATAAGTAGAAACACTCAGGCTTTGGTGTGGTGTTTCATGCCTGTAATTTCAACACTTTCAGAGCTAAGGAAGAAAGTTCATGAGTTCTAGGTTAGCCTGAGCTACGTAGTGACACCCTGATTCATAAGCAAAAAACAAAACAAGAAGAAAAACATGGAAATTGGAGAATTTTAAAGTTGGAGTATGTGGTATCATTTATAGTGCTACAGAATCCAGGAGGACACGCAGGTGAGGGTTGGGATAGTGGAAGAGATGTGAGTTTAGTTTCATCTTAGAATAGCTGCAGATGCCCTGGTCCAGTGGTCCTCAACCTCCCTAATGCTACAACCTTTAATACAATTCTTCATGTTGTGGTGATCCTACCTTAAAATTATTTTTGTTGCCACTTCATAACTGTAATTTTTGCTACTGTAATGAAAACATCTGTGTTTTCACATGGTCTTAGGAGACCACTGGGAAAGGGTTCAACACCCCTCCCCCAGTCAAGACCCACAGCTTGAGAACCACTGTCCTAAGGGATCATCCTGTTGGTACCCTGTATGTATGGTTTTGGATTTCTAATCAGATTGACAGACTGAGGAGAACACATTTGGGTGTAATAGGGAGACAAATGGTCATTAGACTTGGGAAGGGAATAAACTTTCTTCTGAAGAACATGGCACTTGATACCAAGCCTGATGACCTGAGTTCAATCCCAGAACCCACATGATAAAAAGAAAAGAACCAAATCCTTCAAGTTGTTCTGACCTCCACATATGCGGATGTGCACACACACACACACACACACACACACACACACACACACTGATTTAAAAATAACATTGACAGAAGGAGTTAGAAGTTGCTCTGAACATGGACAACCAACATTAAGAGTAGGAAGGATCAGCCGGGCATTGGTGGCGCATGCCTTTAATCCCAGCACTCGGGAGGCAGAGGCAGGTGGAACTCTGTGAATTTGAGACCAACCTGGTCTACAAGAGCTAGTTCCAGGACAGCCTCCAAAGCCACAGAGAAACCCTGTCTCGAAAAACAAACAAACAAACAAACAAACAAAAAAAGGGGGGGTAGGAAGGATCACCAGGCCGTGGTAGTGCACGCCTTTAATCCCAACACTTGGGAGGCAGAGGCAGGAGGATCTCTGAGTTTGAGGCCAACCTGGTCTACAGAGTGAGTTCCAGGACAGCCAAAGATACACAGAAACCCTGTATCGAAATCAAAAAAATTAAAAATAAAGGAAGGAAAGAAGAAGAGGAAGAATGGGAATGATGAGAGGTGGTGAAAAGGAAAAGGAAAACGGTCAGAGTTAAGAGTAGGGGAATCCAGCAAAGCCAAAGACATCTGCCCATCCCAAGCCTGTTGGAAGAGCAGAGGGATCCCCCAAGCTGGGTCCAAGGCTCATCCTCATCATGACTTCTGGGCTTTCCCCACAGAAGTCCACCAACTTGTGAGCTATGAAGGGACGTCTATCTCAATGGGACTAATTTCAATGTCCTGTGGGTGAGGTAGAGAATAGAGGATTAGGGAAGTTGCCACAGACCCACAGATGTGAATAACAAATAACACATATGACTTATTATTATCTATTAGTGGGAGTTCTAATAGATACTACTAATAAAAACCTGGAGTCTGATATTGGGGCAAATGCTGAAAGATCAGAGAAGTAAAGGAGCAGCCATAAGAGAGACCTCTTACCTCTACTAAATCCTCAGACCAAAGGGTTAATCCTGTCCCTACTGAATCCTGTCCCTACTGAATCCTGTCCTGACTGAATCCTGTCTAGACTGAATATGCAAACTCACCTCAGATCTTAGATCTGTCCTAAGGAGGAAGGCTACACAGCTGCCCCATCTGCCCCTGTCTGCTCTCCCAGTGTCTGAGAAGCTCTTGGGGATGAATCCTTGGTTGCTAGCTACAGCTCCCCACTCCTCCCTCTGCCAGGCCAAAAGAAACCTAGTCTGAGCTCCATACTAGCCACAAGCATTCTGGGATACCCACCTAGAACATACATCAGGCAGGTCAATGATCTAACCCCTCAATGGTGTTACCTTCTCATCTGTTCCTTCTTAAAGGGAACCTAAGAAAACAATGGCTCCCTTCCCTTTTGTTGCAACTATAGAAACAGAGCTTGGAGAAGAAGCCAGACTTGCCCAGAATTACACAGAATTACAGAATTACACACGCTCAAGAGTGCGACTAAACTGTAAGCCCCTGAGTCCAAGACAGAAAGGAATAGTGATCCTGAGCACACTGGAGAAGGGCCACCTCAGCATTGCCACTGAGTTAGCTGTTTGACCTCAGGCCAGTAAGTCTACTGGCTTCTCTGTGCCTTGTCCCTCACCTGAAAATGAGGGTGCCAAGGAACTTGGTGTGTTAGGTAACTCAATATCCATGTTGTGTGGTGAGTGTGCACGTGATTGTTTATACCACCTCCCATTAACATTTAAAAAAAAAAAAAACACCCTTCTGCTTTTTAAATTCTCAGTGTCCTTAGCGTTTCTCCCACTTGCCTTTCTTTAATCCCCATCTCCACTTCTCCGGGCAGAAGGGCTACATATGGGGAGAAGAGAAAAGAGGCTGGTGGTAGGGATTAGGACATACCTGACAGACAGACAGGGCCTGCCATGGTAACATACTAAAATATGGACTGTGCACAAGTAACACTGCGCCCTTCCATCCAATGTCAGCCACACACTCCACCATTTCTGTGTCACAAATTCACAGCCAGCCCAGGCTCCTACAGCTTCAGAAACATTTTGGCCCCTTCTTAAGTAGGTGGAGCTCATGCCAGACTCCAACTCCTTCTGACTAAGTCATGTTTCCAGTATCCAAGAATCCTGCTTGGCATTGAGGGTTGCAATCTCAGGAAGTCAGAAGCAGGCATCTTCAGAGTGCTTTTGATCCAAAGCCATGAATGAGAGACTGTAACACAACCTCCTACACTCATGCATGCTGACACAAGCGTGCACATGAACTGATGGGCTTGAGTTTGCCACTCACCAGAGTCTTTTACGTTCACCATTGAGTGGCTGCAGAAAAGATTGCTACCATTTAGCAGGGGAGGAAGCTGACGCCAGAAATAAGGAACACTTTGCTTAAAGTCAAAGTCGAACACGTGCATTTATTCATGCATTCATTTAAAAAGATTTGGAAAGGGGTGTCGATATAGTTCATTGGGTTAAGGCACTGGCCACCAAGCCTCAGGACTTGAGTTCGAACCTTTAGACCCACGGGGTGGAAGAAAAGAACTGACTCCTGCAAGTTGTACTCTGAGCTCCACAGTGCATCGTGGCACACGTGCCCCCCCCCACTAAATAAATAAATATGTAGTAAGCGATTGTAAATAAAAATTGCACAGACCTGAGCGAAGGTAGGTCTCCGAGTTGCATTCCAGCCTTCCATTTGATCGCAGCTGCAAGCTTGGAGCCCAGAAAGAGCTTTCATCAGAAGGGCTCAAATTCATTCACTCCTCACCCCCTGCTGGTTCCCACCAGAGCCACGCCTCCCTTTCGGCGGCCGCAGGGGAAAAGGATGAGATAGGCCATAGCTTGTCCCTTTAATGCGCGCCCCCAGAGGCCCGGCGCGCCCCCGCCACTATAACTGGAGTGCATGGAGCGGGCTGAGCTCAGAGGGAGAAGGGCGGGCGCTGGGCACCCGCTGACCGACGTTTTCAAGTGCGATCAGCTCCAGTCCGTTCCACCTCCGTGGACCCACCCGCTGACGCCCACCATTGAGGACCCGACGCCCGCTGGGCTCCCGGCGGGGGTACACCCAGCTGCCAGACGGTGATCCCCGCGGGCTGTGAGGGCTCAGGGCTCCAGTTTTTGCTCTGCCGTCGGACGAGGGCTGTGTCGCCGCCACGCCTCACGCCCCGCGCTACCCGCCCCATGCTGGTGCACACTTACTCCGCCATGGTGAGTAGTCCTGGGCACACAGGGCGGGGGTTGGGGGGAACCGAGGAGCCTGGATGCTGGACCTTCCAAACCTCCTGCCCCTGCGCTAACGAAATCGCGAGGGAAGAGTGGCACAGGGCCTCTGCCAGGCCGAGAAAGTGGTAGCGGGAGCCCGAGGTCTCCAGCCTAGGACTCCTGCGCCCACAGGGCATCCGCCTGCGGACAGCAGCAGGACCATGGCAAGCTGAGGGGGACCTCACGGGGTGGTGTCTTTTCAGATTCGAACGGCTCGCCTAACACACGC